TTTATTTACCAAATGCTATAATTGATGGCAATAATAGTGTAGATATATTAACTCCTAACCGGTCCTCAGCTCATAATTTAATAGCTATTCAACAAAAGCATATTTTGGCCGCACTTGACATCACTAAACCTTCAATTACTGAAAGCGAATGCAAAAAATATGACAAAATGTAAGTCCTCTTAAACTGAAAGTCTATTCAATTTATTTGTATTTACTTTGAATGCGTTGAAAAATGCGATTTTGAAAACTTATCATAAATTACAATTACAATAACTTATGCGGGAAATTAGTTGCAGTTGATTTTAAAATAGAAAACAATTTCTATTGAATTGCATTTTCCTCATCTCCGATGATAATAATGAGTAGTTTTGGTTAAAAACTTAATTTGATTTTTCATTTGAAACGTGGATTTATAATTTGTATAATTCTCTCCAAAAGTATAATTTTCTTTTCAAATTTCACACACATTTCAAAAAACATTTATTCTTTCATCTATTCTTCAGTACAAAACTTTTTTCTTTAAGTTTTTTGTTATTTGATTTCTTATTGTGAAATAAAAAATATATTACTTTTATTTCATATGAAAATAATAACTTAAATAAATCCGTACAACAAATGTTTGAATAGAGGTATCAATGAAACTGACAAACAGTTTGTTTTAATCTCTTCATCGCATTCTTCACGAAATGGGGAAATCTTATCATTATTTTGGACAAAAAAGTTTTGCTAAAAAATAGCCGCAATTTATTGCAAATTAATTTTAATTCTAAAAGGTTTAACAATAGTTTAAATAAGCGCTTAGTTATTATTGAATTTAATAAATAACTATATTATTTGCAATATTTTCAATTGTAAGTATTTAGCATTTTATGACACAATTCTACAATAATTGTTGAAAACATTTGCTTTGAAATGTTTATACGCTTTTATATTTTAACAAAAGCTATTCATTTGATTCAAAAGTAATTTTGTTGAAAATATTTGATTTCAAATAATTGATTGATAGATAAAAAGTTAATATTTAATAATTATAATCAAAGTATTAATGCAATCATTGACTCATTTATTGATTTCAAGGATTGTATCGAAAGTTGTTTTTGACATAAAAATAAAAGGGGTTTTATTTCTCAATTTTCGCACTTATGTTGATATAACTGTTCATAAATCAGATGTCAGACTGAGTTCCCAAACACACGAGAAGGTCGTAATAATTCATTTGTTTTTCGGTTTCTTTTATTACTTTTTTGTTTGCAATGAATTATAAGTTAAAGCATTTTTCACACACAATAGACATGAATAGAATTGGATGAAAAAGCCTCCCATTCCTCCCGATGTAAATGCGGATCAAGTTTTGCGTAAATTTCTCTCTTAGTGTACAATATGTTCCCAATAATGGGTCCTCACATACAATGAACACATACTTTACACATCTTTTGACCCAATATATGATTATATCCACTCTCAAGGCTTAGACCATCGATAGAATGCTAAGAATCACTAAAAAAGATGAGAGAATGTGGGAGAGAGTCAGTGAATGTGTGGTTGTAGAGAGAGAGAGAGAGAGAGATAAATAGTTTGAAAAACTTTTGATATCAATATTGAAGATCGAGAGATAGGGTCATAGATTTTAGCCTTGAGAGTGGATATAATCATATATTGGGTCAAAAGATGTGTAAAGTATGTGTTCATTGTATGTGAGGACCCATTATTGGGAACATATTGTACACTAAGAGAGACTGTGAAAGAGAGAGAGAGAGAGAGACTGTGAAAGAGAGGCATTTTAAAAGTTCTTTCAAGTATTGAGTAGTGAATTGACGCATAGATAAGCACTGGTAGTATTGGTAATAAAATTTTTGGTCACGGATTATTAGTGGGGAGGGACTCGGCTGTAAAGAAAAGGCGAAAAACTAATCGCTGTATAATATGTTTAATACGTTATAATAGTTTGCAAATCAATTTATCACTGCTTTATGAATAGTAGAGAAGTCTGAGAATTAATGCATTTATTCTTTGTGTCATTTCTAGTAGTAATGTGTTGTGAGAGTAGACACAGAATGGGATGGCATTTGTTATGTCCTTTAGTATCACTTATCATATAAATGGACACAAAACAAGATTACCGGTGCTCTTGAGGGCACACAAACACTAAAACAGTTGGCATTTCTTGATTTCCCATTTGACTCCCAATAAGTGTCATATTTATTGATTATAATTATGATTGACTGCTATTTTGGATTAATGTCTATTACGACAGTATTACTGAGAAAATACTGTATAATACCCATAATTATAACGAGAAACCAACCGTTTTTTGTATTTGCTTTGCTTTTTTCGTATTAAATATATTCATCAATCATTGTATTTGAATGAAACAGTTTTTGAATGCATTTTAATTAAAATCCTTTTATGCGAGACTTCAACTTATCGTTTATTTTCTTTATTTTTTGAGAAAAATATTACTTCACATTAAAATCAAATAAAATTTCTTTCAGTTATTTATCAAATAAATCTAATTCTCACCGCATTTTCAAATAATGACTGAATAAATGCCTCTCTTTTTATTGTCGAGTCAAATGTGAAAAATTAATTTAAATTTTCATGGATTACGTGTAAAAATTGATTCAATTTTTATTTTATATTTTTCAGAAACCATTCATTTTGCTTAAACCACTAAAAGATTATATTCTTGAAGCTTAAGCTATCATAGCAAACATGTGTTTAGAAAACATTTCGCATTTCTGAAATGATTTTTTATATTTTTGAAAATTGTATAATTTTTTGTGCAAATCTTTTCATTACAGATACGAGGCGTTTGTGTCAAGTGGTGGCCAATCGTTCAATACATTGTCGCCATTGGATAAAAAACGGGTCACTTTAGCTTAAATGAGATTTTTAGGAATGGATAAACACGTGAATAGCAATTCATGACCTTTCACCTCACCATCACATAAACTGAAAGTCTTTTATGTAAACAAATGGTGTCATTTTAAGGGTAGAGACATAACGTGATCACACAATAGCTCTACGGTTTTGGCTGTAATTTATAGGCTTTAGGCTGTAATACAAGTATATTCTTGTGATTCTTATAGAGTTGTAATTAGTTATTAATTTTAGAATTCTTTATATTTTTAATAAAATGTGAATAAATTTTATTTACGGATAAATCACGAAGAATATAATATTTGTATGTGATTTAATTGTGTTAATTCATTGTTCACTGAATTTGAGAGTTTCCTTATTCTTTGACTTTGAATTCAATGAATTTCTCGGAATATATAGATTTTCAGGCAATTTGACTATAATTTCAANTTAGTGATGTCAAGTGCGGCCAAAATATGCTTTTGTTGAATAGCTATTAAATTATGAGCTGAGGACCGGTTAGGAGTTAATATATCTACACTATTATTGCCATCAATTATAGCATTTGGTAAATAAATTTCCATTTCATTAATTAGTTTCTGTCGTTCACTGGTATCCAAGTCTCGAGAAAATCCTTTTTCAAGTGAAGGCATATATGCTATCAATTCAAGGCTTTGATTGTGTGTCGAATGAGAACTGCTTTTGATTTGTTGTTTGAATTGTTTGTTGTGTTCATTGAGGCCGTAATGAAGTGCCTCTAATTGGGCGGAATATAGCAGCGCTTGTAAATCAGCGCCGGTATAGTGATTTGTTTGACACGAAATCCACTCTAAGTCTATGTCTGAACTCAGAGACAGTTTAGAACTTAAGACATTCAAAATATCGAGCCTTTCCTCTTGATTAGGGAGCGGACAATACAAACACTTATCAAACCGTCCGGGCCTTAGGAGAGCCGGATCTATAAGATCAGGCCTACTGGTGGCTGACAGCACGTAAACACCTGTTCCTAACTCTTCAAAGCCATCCATTTGTGTTAGCAGTTGATTGACGACACGATCAGTGACTCCTGTGCTGTCGTGTCCTCTACGAGGAGCTAAAGCGTCGAATTCATCGAAAAACAAAATACAAGGCTTTGCGCTCTCGGCTCGACTGAACAGATCTCGCACTGACTGCTCACTCGCGCCCACATATTTGGACAGCAGTTCGGGTCCTTTGATGCCAATAAAATTAATACCACATTCATTAGCTATGGCTTCTATGAGTAATGTCTTTCCAGTTCCGGGAGCGCCAAACAGCAGAATAGATGACTGAGCCTTGAGTGGAAGCTTTGAGAATAGCACCGGATATTTAATAGACCACAGGATTGTCTCCATCAGACACTTCTTAACCTCTGCCAGACCTCCCACTTCGCACAGACGACGGCTAGACTTTAGCTCCAAATCTAAACCGCGAAGACTTGATGGCGAAAAGCCATCAAAGGCTGCGTTAAAGCTCTCTTCAGTTAACACCAAATCCTTAAAGCAATTAGTCTTAGATATTAAGAAGCAGTTGTGAAACGCTCTTTCAATTAATGCACTCATATCTAGCGGTTGATATCCTTTACATCTGATTGCAATGTCTTTCAGATTAACATTAATTTTCGATTCATTGTATTCGACACCAAATTTGTTTGATATTAATTTAGAGATAATTTCCATTCTCTGCTTCAAATCAGGCGAAGACAACTCAATAAACTCTTGAAATAAATGTTTGCCTCGAGTTTGCACTAAAACTGTTTGAAGAGTTTTATTAGACTTAGAGGAAGCAATTACGGCCACTCTATTGCCATATGAGATGTCGTTTCGATTAATTGTTTCAATCAAATCCATAAACAAAAGAGCGATTCTCTCTGAATGTAACGCTTCGGCGCTCGCCTCTTGTCCCGGCTTTGAAGGCATTGACGCGATTGCATCCAAATCTTCAAATACAAGTAGTGAAGGCTGTCTGTGAAGACATTCAGCCAAACTACTGTTCCAAGTCTTCTGAATTGTCTCAATACGTTTGCTTTTCAATGACTGACAGTCGATATATTGAACAAAAACAAAATGTGGAAAATTTGTTAACTTATCGACTAAAGTACTGATTAAATGACTTTTTCCGCTCCCTTTTGGGCCATAAATTAAAAGTGAAGACATCTTAACGGCTGACATGTTTTGCAAATAAAGTGATAGTTCGTCCAATTTGAGAGAAAATCTCAGATAATTTAAGCATTTTTTAAAAGTATCATCAAAACCAGCGAACGGCTTGTTTTGAAATTGATTATTAAGATTGGACTTCAGTTTCACGTCAATGTCTTTGAGGCAAGCGATGGGTAAAGGGTTTTCACAAAAATGTTTCTGTAGAGCCATAACAGGTTCGCATATCTCCACAGATAACTCTTTAGCTGCCATTCGTGTGATCACATATAAAGACGTCTCGTTCTTATGGTAAGTAAAAAAGTCAGTTCCGCACAAATGAATGAGCGAACCATTGGTTAGACATAACATTTTGATAGATGTCTTGTCGATGAGTCGAATCAAATCACTTCTAATCAAGTCATTCGTGACTTTACTCTTTTTGGGCGAAACATTGATTGGACACAAAACTAATGAAGATATCACTGGATATAAAGAATCGTTGAGTGGACTTAAATACACTCTGGAACTGATTGAAAGACCCAATTGTCGTCTCAATGCATTACATACAACAGCAGATTTAGGACACCGATTGTGACCGCAGACAACAACTAAGGTTTCTTTAAAATCAATTTCAGAGATCTGTTTTGAGACACTTTTCATTTCATTGGAAGCGCTATTTGTTTCGCTTTTTTCATTCTTCTGGTTCTCTCTCTTCTGTTCATTTGGAGATAAAATATGAGTTAATTTGGAAATAAAATAAGTATTTTCGCAGCCATTCAACAAATCATTAGATATAAAGACAGTGTTAATCACATCCTTGTCTTCATTATCATTAGTGTCACCAAATGGTAAAACTCTAAAAACTTCATTAAAGTTTAAATTTGTATTGATTTGTATTTTGTCTGAAGACTTTGAACTTTCAATTGAATTAAGGCTTGTGTTTGGTTTGGATTCTTCAGCGGAAGAGCTCGTTATAAATGATTTCACGAAACCAAACACCGATGATATCATCGACTGATTTGAGTTCTGTTCAAATTCATTGGTGTCAACGGTTTGAGTATCAGTTGACTGCAAACCGTCACCATTGGAGTCATCGATGGTATTGCGGGCAGTATTTGGCGGACAAACGATAACTTCGCTTAAATTATTCAAAATAATAGCCTTTGAATGGTTGGGCACCACATGGAAAGCCTCGACAAACAGACACACATTGGACTGATTGGTGATCCAAACGGGGAATATCTGTCCCAAAGACAGGACACGGATTTGGTTCAAGAGGTTCGCCTCAATGAACGCTGAATTCATGGACAGTATCTCCCAATCGTTTTCAGTGATTGGCTTTAAATAGCATTTGTCTGCGTTTGCGATGCGCTGGGAGTGAGGGGTCGGCACATGACTGACCAGAACCTGCTGTCTGTGACTGAAACCCATTTTGTTGCCAAACAGACCGTTCATCTGAATGCAGGACTCACTCGCTGTCGTCTCTCCCGACCAACTCATCACCACTTCCTTCCAGTCCTCCTCTTCACGCAATGACTTTATCGCAAATATCGACACTTTCTGTCAAATCACACATTAATTGCCATTAAAATCAAGTTTTGGGAAAATTTATGGGAATTTTTTTGGTCACAATCAGTACTTCCGTGGCTTTCAAAGTCCATGTCTTTGGTATTGATATGAAACACGACTTCTTGGACGTGAACTCAATCTCCGAGACCTCAATGAAACTCATTTCAAACCAACGATCACTTGATTTCCTCTAAATTATTGATTAAATCCGTAAACTGTTTGACAATTCAATCAACAAATGAAGCAAACATTGCATTAAAGTTTGCATTCATTCATACATTACGTGTCAATAGTTTGGGGTTTCAATTGATTTGATGGACAGACTAGAGATGGGGTTTGGGTTTAGTATAGCTTTCCGTTTGATTTATGCCATAATTGACCCCCAACTGTATCAGGGTACTTTCATAACATATTCTCGTATATATATAATTTATGATTTATGTTCAAAATTTATAATTAATTAATTTACAAATGTGTTTAATTATGAAAACAATATACAACTGTATATTACTACACAAAGTATATTATTCTGAATGAATCTAGTACATTTAGAACATTTATATGTAAATAGCATGATAAATGTGAATTGAATGTAAATCTTATACATAATATAATTGATATGAAACACGACTTCTTGGACGTGAACTCAATCTCCGAGACCTCAATGAAACTCATTTCAAACCAACGATCACTTGATTTCCTCTAAATTATTGATTAAATCCGTAAACTGTTTGACAATTGAATGAACAAATGAAGCAAACATTGCATTAAAGTTTGCATTCATTCATACATTACGTGTCAATTGTTTGGGGTTTCAATTGATTTGATGGACAGACTAGAGATGGGGTTTGGGTTTAGTATAGCTTTCCGTTTGATTTATGCCATAATAGATCCCCAACTGTATCAGGGTACTTTCATAACATATTCTCGTATATATAATTTATGATTTATGTTCAAAATTTATAATTAATTAATTTACAAATGTGTTTAATTACGAAAACAATATACAACTGTATATTACTACACAAAGTATATTATTCTGAATGAATCTAGTACATTTAGAACATTTATATGTAAATAGCATGATAAATGTGAATTGAATGTAAATCTTATACATAATATTCTAAAAGAATTTGTTTTTTAAAATTAAATTCTTGTGAATAAAAAATTAAATGCATTACATGTTGAACACAAATGGGAGTCTAAATGAAATATTCTCCATTTCTATGGCTTATCCAATGAATAGGTTTATCTGAACAGTGAATGAATAGAAATATTTGCATCAGATTTGAGATTCATTTGTGTTTTTCGTTACATGAGTTTTAAAATCAATAAATACTTGAAAAATAATGAGTTTTGTCGTAAAGTGAAGGATGGGTTGTTTGCAGGCAGCGATTGCCGACAGGAATCTCAGTGTTTACTGAGCTTTTAGTTTGCGATTTCTATTCAATTCATTTAACTCTAATTTCACTCAATTTTTGCCTTAATCTCCAAAATTAATTCAAAAGCAAAACTTAAAAACTCATTCAAACGTCTAAAGAGTTTTTCAAACGTGTTGTTAAGCAATAAAATTATAATCAAATCATCAATTTTATCACCAAATTTAATTATATACCTTTGTTTAATTAGTTTTTTAAAAGTCAAAAAGTAAAAGTTTTTTTTATTGATTTTTTATCCATAAATTTGAGATAAGATCTGCAAAAAAGACATTTCTGATAGGAATCGAGATCTCATTAAATGAGAAATTTTGTAAAGTTAGAGAAAACCTAATTTTCATTCAAATATTTTGTATACACAGCAGAATTGGATGCAATATGAATGCGATTGAATGGCAGACTTTAGCCCAAAGCCATGAAAGTGGCTGCTATTGAATGCGACCCCAACCCCAACCAAACGCCAACCCAAACCCAATCTAATCCACAAAAACTTTCATTCAATGCAATGCTATGAAAGGCCGACAAACAGTGTTTATATGTATTATGTGCTCAATGTTTACAATACCTGTTCAGAGCATCCCATTCCCCACTATTAAAAGGCAAACATTATATTTATAGTCTTTCACATGAATTTTGTAATCTTCACAGATATTAAGCAATGCTTTAATATCTTTCGGATTAGTTTAAACTGAATATTCATTCACTTGAGAGGGCTTTTCATATCCTTTTCGTTACAAAATTACACATAATTTGGATAATTGTATGCATTCTTGACCTCAAATGAAGTTTAGGTTCACATATAGTTGGGTTCAAATAGGAGAAGCGCTTTGGAGTTGAACTTTATATTACATGAAGGGAAGCCCTCTGTGCCCACCAAACCATAGCTAAAGACCCTATTTTACAGCACTGTATCTGAAGATATCATTTGAATAATGGAAATGCAAATCATATCCACAATTGAATGTGTAATATATTGTGAATTTTCATTTTTCTTGACTCTAATGTGAGTTGTGTTGAGAATATCGTGAAATAAAACTGTTTTCGCAATAATAATAAAATGCATTACATCTGGAGAATAGTTCAGCTGTTTTCTCGTTGGGCTATAATATCGGCGCAAAGTTTGCCATACAGTGAGACATACAGTGAGAGTGAAGTGAGGGCTGAGTTGGCTGTTCATACCAAACACCATGCGATTCACTATTATTCTGTGTTCAGTAGTCTCTCCACTGAATACTCCACCAGATATTCAGTGCTCGCAGTCTAAAGGTGTGCGCAAACAGTCTGTCTCTCTCTCCACGACTAGAGCCACAGATATTGCGCTCAAACTCTGTTCCGCAAGTGTTGAACACAAACACAGATCTTTCATATCAAGTGAACTCAACATTGAATTCAACTTTTTTTGTCAATTGAAAAAAGAGGCGCTTTTTTGTGTTCCTAAACAGTGAGTGTATTTTGGATATAAATGTGAATCTAGTGGTGAAGTATTGGTTATCCGCTGGAAGTGTCGGTGCCATACACTGTAGTTATAGGGATAAGTCATTAATCCGGTGCCGTTTTGTCCCCCAAATGTGAGATCTCGTGAAACCTGTCTTCTCGTGAAGATCTACTTGTTTTCAATGAAGTCTCGCAACTATTCAACGAGTTTTGAATATTTCTCTCCAAACATATTCCGATGGTTTGTATGAAACTAATCAACACTTGTATTGAACGCAAGTTTGCTTTCATATGAATACTTCACTAATATTGACATAATATAAAGTGCACTGTATTTGCAAATTCTTATTCAATACTAGTCTTTATAGTAAAATAAAAGGTGTTTAAGAGTTAATGATATACTTTGTAGTAGTTTTCAAGTCATTCACTAACAAGAAATGTGTGTATTTCGTGAATTGATTGTGAATAATAAATAATAAATAAGTGATAAGTTGTGTTCCCATTCATCGTATCCTTTATGAGATAACATGATATGATTAAGTGATATAATTGTCGCCACAATTCTTGAGTGTCTCAGCAGATCCTCACATCTCATGCAAAGTATGCCAATCATTGACAGAGGAATCAAAAGTTAAATTCATTTCAACATTCACTCAGCGTTTGGCAAATAAATGATAGAAACAGAGATATAATTAATTAAAACACAATACAAAGGGAAGTGTTTGTGAGAAAAGTTATTAATAGGGAAAGAGTGGTATTATTGGAAGTGATTAATGATAATCGATAGCCAACCAGACGTCCGGACACAGAGAATGGGTTGTAGACTGACTGCAGCGGGCATTATGTGGACAAGTCTATCATTAGCAGCTGCCATCCTAAACTGTACTGGCTATTACGTCCCCCATTGGCTCAGGGGGTCCTACCATAACGCCATCGATGTGTCATTTGGATCGTTCCGAAGATGTAATTATCCGCGACTCACAAATGAGGGTAAACTAGAAATAGTGATTGAATGCGGGAGATATCGCACTTTCGCTGACATACCATCCCTATCCTGGCAGGTATGGTATCATATGGTTTGGGCACATATGCCGAGTATCATTCAATACATTTTATGCTTCCCATTGCATCACTCGCTTAGCCATTGTTTGCATAACATATCATATAATTTATGTTAGTTTGAGATAACGATTGTCTGATAAGAGTTTTGTTTTATTTTTAATATCTGAATCTTCGGCTAATTGAATGGATTCGCTGATGGTTTGGCTATAGATCACCACAATTCTGATGGGAATGGGATGTAAGAGATGAGCAAAGCTTTTTCATTAGTGACAAGAGATTTACGCGATATTTATATGTTTATTGGAAATATCAATATTTAGCGGCGCTTTCATTATTAGTGGCTTTCACTGTATTGGCCTCTTGTTGTCTATCGGATGTCATTACCAAAAGCACCGCAAAAGCTCTGGGAATCATACAATTGATTGGAGGTTTGGATAAAAGCATTTCTATTATCATTATTATAGCCTATCTATAGATACTATGGTTTGAGAGCTCAACCAAACTGTTTATTCAATGGCTTTTCTCCTCTTTATGAGACTCTCCTATCAAACAAAATAACAGTAATTTATTTAAACCTAAATAAATACTTCACTTATTATTAAATCATTTATCATATGTTTTTCCTATGAAAAAGCTTTCGATGAGACAAATTAATGAATAACTAATGAAAAGTATTTGAATGCAATCTATATTTAGTGTCTAATGAATCCAATGCCACACATTTGAGAATTTAAAGCAATATATAACAAGAAATTTGATCAATACTTGTATTGTTTTGAATTGTTATGTCATAAACATTGTTCACCCAATCCATGATTACATGCAGTTATTCACAACAGACTTTATAGTATAATAATACAAACAAAACCCTATTTGCTCCAAAAACTATTTAACCAGTGAACCAAACAATGATAATACTCTAACATAGATGTGATTCATCTCAATAGGAAACACCAGTTATTTATTGGTGTAGTCACTACACTGTTGTAGTCTATGAACCGCTTTCAATGTTATCGAGTTTTTGCATTCTTTGACACCACTCTCAACACAAACAAATCAATTCGAGCGTTGATTTAAAGTCAACACTTGTTTTGTCTAAATTAACTCAATTACAGATTGCATTCAATTTCAGTCAAACGCCAAAAACAAATATTATTTGTTAGACAATAGAGAGAAATTGAAGTGAAGTTTTCTGACAAAAAATTTTTCTAAACCCACAAACATGTATCAGGAATGCGTGCCAACCCCTTGGTAGGGCGGGTAGGAAAGTAGAATAATCTCATTAAAAGTCATTTTTCAATACATTTTTCAATTTTGTTCACTTATCTGCAAATATTTTAAAAGCTCTCAAGAAATATAAAAGAAAAGACAAATAATCGATTGCATGAGAAATAGTTTGACATCGGAAGCGATTATCATATCATAAATATTAAAACTTAGTCTTAAACTCAATATAACTTATTTGTGAAATCAATAGACTTTTCGTACTTAATATTTGATATATCGCACCAAATATTGAATATTTGGTAAATCCAACAAAAATAATCATTTTAGTAACGATTCACTTGTATTTATAAAACACTCATTGGACCAAAAAGTAATTTAGACGTGAATTGAATTCTCGCATTAAATTATCTAAAAATTGAAGGACTCGTAACATTTTGACAAAATAATCCTAAAATTGAATTCAATTGCATTTATATCGTATGAAAGGCCTACTGATGGCGTCGGGAGGAATCGTATACCCCTACGGTTGGACCAGCCCTGAAGTTAGGGACGCCTGCGGGGGTCACTCGGATGTCTATAAACTGGGTATTTAATAGCATATATTTCTAATATCGAGACTTCACTAAATGTGTAATCGTTTATATAATCTATTGCACCGATACTGTAGGCACATGTTCGCTCTCCTGGTCCTCATATATGATGATCTCTGGAGTTGTTTTGCTATTTATTTGTTTTATACTCTCATTCAAAGCCAGCAAAGTTAAACTTAGACCTTATATTACATAAATCATTTGAACGCAAATTCACTTGTTTTGAGCCATAATTTATTTCATGTTTTCTCATATGATTTTGTCTCCACTTCATACTCAACAATACAATTGTATTTTGTTTTTTGTATTTAAAATAATATTTTGTTAATAAAAATAAGAAATTTTATAATTGATTACTTTAACCCAGTGATTAATAATTAATTTTTCATTAGCTTTGCGAGTTGTTTGTGAAGCATACAAATTCTCATTTGCAATTAAAAACAATGTATTAAATTGTAATATATTATGTAAATGTAATGTATTTATACATATCTTCTATGATAACGATGATAATCAGTCATTTCCATGATTTAATTAAATCAAAATATAAATACAGATTCAAGATTCAAAAAATGATTAATTTCATAGAAAAATGGGAACATTTTTACACTAAAGTTGTGATTACTTTCAAAATATTTTCAACAATAATTCAAATATTGCACTCAAGCATAGAGTTTGAGATCATATTAAATGACAACCAGATTATGAATTAAACAATAAACACATTTTAAGTGAAATATTTCAATTATTATTATATTTTATAAATACTGTATTTGCTTTTCATTAAATATCCTGAAAAATTAAAGTTATTGTTTAATTTGTTTGTATTTCTATCAGTTATACAGTATCATACAAGGCATTCATATATGATATCAATTATATTCTTGTAATTATATTTAATAGACTAACACTTATATAAATTAATTTCTTAATTAGATTTTTATCTAATTTTAATCAAGGGTTGACACAAAAAAGTTGTTCAAAACTAACCCTAAGCTATAATTTCCTTAATTATGTTCAATGTATGACAGTGTAATGCCTTTCATGCCGAGTTTTGCATCAATTCAATTAAAAATGTCTTACAATTTCAACCTTATTTAACATAATAACTACTGAATAAAAAAAGTTAAACATTTTTAAATCACATAAACATTCTGTGAGATATTAAATCCATCACAACTAAATATATTATAGTTTGTCATTTAATTTACAGAATCAGAATATATTAACTCTAGAATATATCGATAGGAATATCGGGTAGAGTAGAGTCTAGTAGATTTTATAAATTAGTATATTTTTGTAGATCCTTGCAAAAAAACTGATTTAATGTTTTCAGATGACATGTGTATTAAACTGAACACAAATCGGAAAAAGTGGACAAATTGTGTGTAAAACTGGATCCAAAATAGAGAATCCAATGGAAAGTGTATGCATTGGAAGCAATGGTACGCTATCTATGAGATGCCATACAATGAGTGAATGTATGCATTGCCTGACAGACTGTCTGACAGTCACTCAAACATGTGTTCACACGATGTCAACAAACCCTACGATCATATCCATCACATCCATCACATCCATGGCTCGCAATCTACTGTCTTCCACACGAAGACTAACACTTCCAACATATCATCCATTTATCTCTCATAACAAACTATCACTCATCACATCCAATGGCAATCACAACAACACTTTACTCCACAAATGTGTGGCACTTATAGTCTGTGTGTTTGGATCCAAGTATTTGATCCACAGATTACACAAGACTAAGAACTTTAGTGATAATAATGACACCAATAATAATAAAAGGCATGTTTTATACGAATCTATGAACACATGTTTGACGGGATTGGTGTCCACTTGTGGTCTAAGAAGTGCTGAACTCTTCATTAAAAACAATGACATGAAAGAAGACAATAACCATTTGCTTGCGTCCAAGAGATTCAATTTCATCGCAGACGTGACCGAAAGGGTGTCGTCTGCACTGGTATTCATCGAAGTGATGGGTCGACACCCCTTCTACCCGGAGCTCAATGTGTCGGTGTCGAGCGGATCCGGATTTATAGTGCATTCCTCGGGAGTAATCATAACGAACGCTCACGTCGTGGCCAACGCTTCCACGGTTTCCGTCAAACTATTTGATGGCCGGATACTGAAGGGTCGGGTGGAGTACGTCGACCACAGACTAGATTTGGCGACCATTCGGCTCGAGACCAGTGATAAGGACTTCCCGGTCATCCGTTTGGGTGACTCGCATAAGTCACGGACCGGCGAATGGGTGATAGCTATGGGAAGTCCTTTCTCTCTGAGCAATACAATCACTGTTGGAGTGATTAGTTCACTGAAACGAAAGTCACATGAATTGGGATTGAATTACAAAGAGATTGATTTCATCCAAACGGATGCGTCCATTAATATCGGCAATTCTGGCGGTCCTTTAGTCAATCTGGACGGCGAGGCCATCGGCATCAACACCATGAAAGTGACGGCCGGCATATCGTTCGCCATTCCCAGCGATTATGCCAAAGGTTTTGTCACTTTTGACACTTTTGTCACTTTGTTTGACATTCATTTGAAAAACATTCAATTGATTTGTCTGTGAATATGAGTACAGAATTCTTGGAGCGAGCGAATCGGTTCCAACAAAAGACAGCCAAAGCCAGGAGTGAAGAGATTCTGTCGAAAAGGAATCGATATATCGGTATAACTATGTTATCGTTGACTCCGAAACTCATCGAAGAATTGCGTGAAAGAGAAGACAACTTTCCGAACGTCAAGAATGGGGTTCTTATATGGAAAGTGGTGTTGGGCTCACCCGCGCACCTGTATGTCCAGTCAATTACTTTGTTATTACCCAATGTTTATGTTTACTGTACTGTAATAGGGTAGGCCTACAACCCGGTGATATAATTACCCGAATTAATGGAGTGGAGGCCACATCTGTGGAAGACATATATCGGGCCTTAGAAGATGAACAGGTCTTAAGTATTACTATTCGTCGAAAAGATGATGACATAAGTCTCGTCATTAAACCACAAACTATTGACTGATTGCACAATATTTTAGTATAAACTTACAAATGCAACTGTGCTTTAACTAATGAATAGTTAATATATTTTTAATACAGTAATTGCTCAAATTGTGCCAATATTTAAATTGCTTTCAATATACGGTAAGGTTTTTTATTTATCGTAATATCATGGTAAATATTTACGGCAATAGATATTTAGTTGACTGGTAAATAAAAATTATATGATCTATTATATGAATTAATAACTAATGAGTTTATAAATAAATAAATCTATTGTTTATTTATAAAACATATTACGGGTAAAATTTACAATTATATAGAATATCTAATTATAGACAAAAATCTAGTTTAAGTCTAATAACAGAGAAGAATATGAGTATAAACGAGAGGCTAATGTTTGGCGCGAATGAACTGATATTTAATGAGAAGTCGTCCAAAACGACAATTTTGAAGCCCATATTCCTATGAGTATAGCTCTGGTAATTGTGCTGTAGCCCTTGTGACCTCAAACCGCAGGTGACGTTCTACCGACGCAAGGGCAGAAGCGTGCACATCAAGTCTCGTCTAGACATAACTTACTTCAATACCTTCAATAGCCGAAACGCAAACAGTGACTGCGGGAATGGTAGCCAAGCGCACAGGCGACCCGCAGATGTGGGCGTTGGTCTCCCTTTCTTGTCGAACTCGACACCGGCGTAGACCTGATATTTCTTGCGCTCTTTGTCGGTGTTTTCGACAAACCCTCCGTTCGGGTCATTAGTTATATAGAGTGGATGATAGAGGTGGGCGTTGTTTGGGTTGTTCCCGCCCTCCACTCGGAAGGTATAGGTACGGCCGCGCTTTAGATATAATATGGGGGCTAACAGTCCGTTTATATACCAAACAACACCTGGCGATCCATTTCCCGTAGAGCCGTAATATCCCTTAAGCCCTCCGGCGTCACCGATTCGGGCGTAAAATGTGGTCAAAGTTCTGTTTAATAGCCTGAGGGGTCCCCAAGGTTTCGCTTTTGGGATTATTACAGCTTCTTGTGGTTCCGTAAAGTGAAAACAATTCTTCTCCGACTTTCGGCCCAATTCTATCCTAACGTCTCCTTTTGGGTAAATGTGATAACACGACATCGGGAACACTGGAGTTTGGCGTCCACTGCAAGATGGCTGCGTTCCCGTCTTCGCACGTGTAGTTCAGAGCAGATCTGTATTGAATGAAGTTATGGAAGTTATCGGCTTTGCGTTTGTCCGACTGCGGGAATGGTAGCCAAGCGCACAGTCGACCCGCAGATGTGGGCGTTGGTCTCCCTTTCTTGTCGAACTCGACACCGGCGTAGACCTGATATTTCTTGCGCTCTTTGTCCGTGTTTTCGACAAACCCTCCGTTCGGGTCATTAGTTATATAGAGTGGATGATAGAGGTGGGCGTTGTTTGGGTTGTTCCCGCCCTCCACTCGGAAGGTATAAGTACGGCCGCGCTTTAGATATAATATGGGGGCTAACAGTCCGTTGATATACCAAACAACACCTGGCGATCCATTTCCCGTAGAGCCGTAATATCCCTTAAGCCCTCCGGCGTCACCGATTCGGGCGTAAAATGTGGTCAAAGTTCTGTTTAATAGTCTGAGGGGTCCCCAAGGTTTCGCTTTTGGGATTATTACAGCTTCTTGTGGTTCCGTAAAGTGAAAACAATTCTTCTCCGACTTTCGGCCCAATTCTATCCTAACGTCTCCTTTTGGGTAAATGTGAT